TTCCGATCTTCTTCTAAAAAGAACATTATTTGTTCTACATTCACAATTATACTCATTTACATTCCTTGAACAGGGAAACTCTTAGAAGATGATACAGTTTAGTAAGCAGCTCTATAGAATGTGTGCCCAGTCAGTTCACCAAGCAGAACAAATTCATTTGCTGTTTCAATACATGTCTAATTGCAAATGGTCACTAGTGAGCTCACATTGTGCTGGTAAAAAGAGCCTTTGGTATGCTGCCTGGTTTGCATTTTGCCTACCCACTAAACCTTTTGAGAACTGATGGATGGCAGTTCTCATGCGTGGGGAGCTTCTTTGAACTGCTCTTTACCATCCCTGCTCTTTTCGCCACATCAGGAAGCAGCGGTACCGAAGAAGGGCACTGCTGAGTCTAGGTCTGAAGGAACAGTACACTATTCTAGCTTCCTAGCTAAAGAGCAGAGGTAGAAGGAGCACGTATCTGTCCTTTGCCGGGATTGTAGAGCTGTTGTAACTTCTGTATTGGGCACACTATTGCTGAAAGTGAAGTAAGCTTCTTGCATTGAAAGAATTCCATCAGCAGGTTACATTTGATGGAGATAATGCAAACGAGACCTGTGAGCTGGATGGAACTTACTCATAATTCTGACTTGATTTACACTTGCATTGATTTGCCATGCTTTCTGCCTTGCAACAGAGTTGACAAAAACTGAATATAGACAAAGCGGATCACATACCAAACAGGTAAGGACTGCCAGATCATAAAGATCTGTGCTGCATCCACCTTTTGTTGGTCAAGACAGGTGAGAACCTTGTGAGTGCCACTGTGCAGGACGAAACAGGCATTTGGGGGCTGCCATCCCCAGAACCCCATGATTCCAGATTCTGGGATCACTTCAGGGTTGAGAAGACAACAGCTGCCTCGACAACTTGGGAGGTTCTGGTGACTGAAAAGAAGGCTCACACCCTACAAGCCCACGCGGCCCATGAGTGATGGACATAGAGGAGGATACAGTGGTCTCCTCCCCATGGGTTTCTCAGATGAGTTGGTGTGGGACACACATACTCTTCTGTCTCCAGAAAGTTCTGCATCACTTGGAAGACTGCTCCAGGTCAAGACAAGGGATAGCTATGACTTTATCCCCATGAGTTCTAGCTGGTTTGAAAACATGCACAATGCTCCACAGTTCCAGTGTGACCATGAAAATTAGATCTCCTACTACCTGGTACAGAGCAAACAATCTCAATGAAATCACTGTTATGCTACCTTTTTACCTCTTTTATTTTCCTCAGTGAGTTTATCTTGTGTGCTGTCTTGGCTCAGGAAGCTGTCCATGTGTAACCTGACCTTTCGCCAGAAAAACTCCAGTGACCTCTTTGGCAGCTATCAGAAATCAATGGATTGGATGGTAGGCCACCTGCAGGAGACAAAAAAGTCCACCAGGGCCAGAATTATGTTTGATCTGTGATTTACAAAAAAGAATTAAGGTTGCCTGATGTCCTTAACACTTTCAGTAAAAGCAAAGGGGAGAAGGTGGCAGCAGGATAAGATCCATGCTCTTTTTATATGTGGGAACGGGGGAAATCAATCTTTCTAAAACACTTCTTCCTCCCTGATGCTTTTACTGTTCTCGTACCTCCATTTTACCCTCCACCTGCCACCAGCACTTGAAGGCCTGGCTTGTTTGTGGCCTTCCAGGAAAAGGCAAACAGCCTATGCAAGAAGGAAATTCTATGCAAACACACTTTGGAACAAACAAGATTTTTTTTAACAGGATTTATTCATAGCAGAGTAAAGAAGAGGGCAGAAAAGTATGAGCAATGTGCAAGTCATGCAAAACCCATACGTGTTGTGAGGCAGGAAAGGCAGGCGATAACCCTCTGCCAGAGTTACTGTGGCTGATGGATGTCCCACCTGGAGTCATGGTGCCTTTGCTGCATACCACGATGCCCTTCTATGGGTGACTCTGCCTGCAGCAAGTCCTTTGGGAAGGCACGTGGAGCACAGACTGGAGGGGAGGCACAAGCAGAGTGGGGGACTGCAGGTACCCTATGCAGAGATCAAATAGCAAATATTGCTGCAAAGCTGGTCTTCAGAGGCTAGTGGTATCTCCCGATACGCTCATTCTGCCAGAACTAGAAGGAAGATAGATCTCTTGCCTGCTTCTGCTTCACAGCTACACTAAACATTCCTTTCCATTCCTGACAATGTATGTTCAGCTTCCTCACTGTAATACAATTTCTTCTATAGTTCCATGCTTTTGCAATTTCAGATTCATTACTCTCTCAGCTACAGCATGTCCTTTTGTGTCTAGATTTGTCTGCAGATGCTGAGATTTCCTCGGTAAGGAAAGCAAGAATCTCCTTTGTTCTCTCCCAGCTTGACAGAAGAGGTATCCAGGGTTACTTCACAGTCACCTGCACCATCTTCTACTTGTTCTGAGACAGCTCTAGCCATAATAGATTTCCTTGGTGCATTCTCATTCTGGCAAAGGGGAGCAGGAGGCTTAGTGCATCTGCCCCGAGCCAGTGAGCTGCCTGGGGCATCTGCTGAGCACAAAAGTACTTGGCAGGTACTTGGCAGGGACAATCACCTGGATTGTCTGACCATAGAAATATGGAGCAGGAGACAGGGAAGTAGGGAAAATATGCCACAAAGGTCCCTACTGTTAAAACATCCCACTGTTAATATCTCTGCCATTTTGCAGGTTAACCCAAGGCTGGTTGATATGCTGTTGGTACATGTCTCCAGGATATTAAAGTTATCTTTTGGGCGAAAAGAAGGAAAAAAGGACGTGCATCCTACATGCTGTTCCATGAAAAGCCCTGCTGGTCCAAAGGCAGTGATTCTATTTTTCTTATTATTTGTTATCCTTTAATGTAATTGTTATTACATAAGTAGAACTGGTATTCTACAAGGAACAAAATGAAATGGCATATTCTGTAACAGGCCGCCAAACTGCAAATGAACAAGCCCTGAACCCAAATAACAATGAACCGGTTCTGAGTTTGCATATGAATCCGGCTTTTCTGAGCAATTTGGGGCATCTGAAAGTGCTTGGTCATCAGCAGGACAATGCGGCTTACTGAAACACAGTCTGCTCTGGCTTCCTACTCGATTTTATTTTTCTAGACAGCCAAACACTGAAGTACCACACAGAAATTGTTAACCAAAAGAAAATAACACTGTTAAAAACATAGTATTTAACTATAGTTTTTATGTTGGGATCAGAAGGTATTTTCTCTCTCCGAATTCACATGATCTAAAAGTCTCTTATTACTGGTTCGCTGTGTATTTGCCCTCTGTCAAGACTAGAAAGTAACTGTGTCAAAATGACTCATGGCACAGGAGGACCAACGTGTGGGCCTCTCTCCCTGTACTGACAAAAAGGAAGCCCAGAGAATTAGCTTACACTAAAAGTCTAACTATTAAGAGGGCTAAAATTAGGTTTAAAAAGTTTCATTTTGGATGTCAAAGGAAAGCAAAGTGCAGTTTATTTAGAGTGAACAGGTCTTTTCACATAATCTCTTACGTATTACAGCTCTTGCCTTTCTAGCAAAGTAGCAAAATTTCAAGCGTCCTATCAGCCAAGCGTCCTATCAACCACTCAGGAGCTCAAGCACTGGCATTTTGGGTGGCAAGGTGCAGCTGCAGAATTTTTAAATGTATTTAAAACCTCTTATGTCGTTATTTTACTTATCTGATGTACAGTGAGGTTAACAATAACGCAGCAAGCGCTGACTATATGTGGAGAAAAAGCAATAGATTTCTGTCAAAACGAACAGAACCAAAGGACGCATCTGAAGTCAGAACTGTTTAAGAGGTCTGCTCGTAGTGCAAAGCTGTGGCATGTAAAATTACAGAAAAATTCAGTCATGCTTGTGTGGATTAAGCAAGGAAATACACATGTATTTTTCCCATTAAAATAAGACATTGTTATTACTGCGGCTAAACAAGTTCTAACCAACTTTCTGCTTTAATGACTTCTAAATCCATAACGTTGAGGATGTTTCTATAAAATAGCACAGGTCAAACATACATACTTGGGCCAGTCAAGTCTGAAGAATTCAGAAGCATTATAGTACTTTCCCCTGTTGGAAAAACATACATAAAACAATTTTTGCTTATTTTTGAGTTTTATAAGGAGTACAATAAAAAGATTGACTTTGGTTCCGTGATACCAAGCAAGCACTAATAGCACTGCCTTGCAAAGGGTGATTAGTTAAGAGAAAAGAATAGCCTTTTCACATTTGCTTTGATATGCACATAGCTGTTGCATTCCTCCAACAGGAAGCATAAAATGAAGAGGTTGTCTTGAAAAGGCATTATATATAAGGTAATATGAAACCATGTTTGTGCACAGAAGAGAGTCAATGCTTTTTCCACACATGGTCTAAAGATTTCTGAGCCCATTCCTATGCTCTGGGAATAACTAAGAATTATCCATTCCCTTCAATGACACCAGGATCAAGACCTCAAAAAGTGGATGTCAGGTTTGCATAGTATCTATGAGGAACCAAACAGCAAGAACCAGTATTAAATATGCAAGGGCTGCAATGAATTAGAGAAATCGTTTTACAGTAACTTTTTAACTTGACTTGGGTCTACTGACTTAATTATGGTTCTCAAAAGCATTTTTCTATCCTACTGCAGTTTGCTGAGACATTATTAAACACAGCTTCACATCAGTTAGATTGGATACTGCTACCAGGGCAGACCTCAGCTGAAGGTTCAGGATGTCTTTAGGATCCCATGATAGACTCATCTATTTCAAACTGAAAAATAAAACCCGAGTACAAACAGATTCCAGATCTCCACTCTCTTTTCTGTGGGAGTCAAGAGAAGAATGACATGAAATGAAAAATAAATGATGGTATAGAGACAGATACTATACTGCACCCACATCTTAGACATTTGAGTTTTCAGAAATGCCACAAGTAGTCCTGACACCTAACATCAACAAATCAGAGAGCAGGAAAAAAAAAAAAACACAAGAAAGGCAAAATATATTTTATTAAAAATATATAATTGTGAATAGCATTGTAATAAATAATTCTAATCTGTGAATTTCTTACACACAAAGTTATGCACCTAGCAAATGTAACAAATGAATAGCTGAAAACTTGAATCCAGCAGCATGTGCTCTGAGCATTTCTTAAGAAGTCACATGAGCATGGATTTCACGTCCTTGAAGTCTGAAGGTTCCCTTTCTATTTCCAAGATGAATTAAAAGGACTTGAATAAAAAGCCAGTCCAAATCAAGAGCTGTTCTTCCTGAAGATCTAGCTGCATCTTCTCCAAATGGTAAACAAGAAGAGTGACCAGCAGTAAGCAAGGCGTACCAGCTACATCACACGTAGAAATTATATCCCCAAAAGAACTTCAGAGTAAGAAATTTAAGCAGCTCAGTATTACATAATTAATTCCAAATCATGGTGTCAAGAGGGTTACAGAATCTATTTCGGGCTTAGCTGTGGGTGACTAATACTTTAAAATCTACAATAAGGACAGAAAATGCCCTATTCTGTATTGTTGCACTCTAATATTTTATGCAGATCAAAGTATTAAACATTTTCTTTACAAGTTGGAAAGCAAAATCTCTGCAGGGAATGCAGGCCTCTGTGCAGAAAAACAGTCCAGAAGATGGACTACTCTAGAACTAGCTACAAAATTCATTATGGTCACAGACCTAAAGTGCTTTACTTTAAAGATACTTTTGAATGAAACATGTCCTTGAAAGTGCATAACCTTTATCTAAAGCATAAACGTGGATATTTGAGTAAATATCTCCATACCTAGTCACATATATAAAGGCCTGAATCCAAGGGCTTTTTACACCATGATAATTCCATTAGCTTCATTGCAGTTTTACCTGACTTACAATGATACGGAAGAAAACTGCAATCTCAGAATAAAAACCAAAAAAATGAAAATCCCCCTTCAATAAACAGAATGCAGAACTTCAGGTGTCAAACATTCACCGAGGCAAAAGAGCTTTCCTTGCTTAAACTAAGTCTTCTCAACTTGCTTATCTGTGAAAGGAAGAATTACAAGAAAAATTTATCAAATACAAGGATTAATTTTGAAGCCACAGAACATTTCATGGCTTTGTGACTCTTTTCTCTAGAGTTTGGAGGCACCAAAAGTTTCCTTCATTGTCAAAATTAATGTTCTAAAAAATGAAATTAATGAAAGGTCAGATAAAACAGAAACAGAAGGTAATCATGGAAGGAAAGAAATGAGTAGTTCAAGCACACTCGTGGGAAGTGCTCTCCTAACACATACAGACAGTGGAATTGCTGGGGCTTCGAATCCCCATTCTTTTCAAAGTCCAACCCATTCTTCAGTGTCTAGTCTTTTGGTTTCCCTACTAGCATATCCTCAAGCCGTAACTACCTGACCTCAAGACATTTCTGTGGGACTGGCAGGCATACCTCTGTTTGTTCTTATTCATTACAGTAAAGTGTGCTAGGGAGGGATTTGGAACGTAATGTAAATGCCTTGGAAATTGGAGAGAAAGTGAAAGAAAAACCCCAATTACTCCTTAGTTTGTTTTAGGAATTTCAGAGATTTGGTCATTTATTTTCCTGAGACCACGCTTTGCTGAGACAGAATCTCATAGCTTGAGACTTGCTTGAGTGGCAGGGGGGGCCTTCAAATTTCTTTCTCGTCCCCTTCCCCACTATCCTGCACCACTCTGTCACTCGTGCTGGCAAGTTTTGCTGTAACAAAAGCGTGGGATAGATGAAGGACTGATTTGGCTTTATATATCCCCACATCAATTTTTTTTACACAATTTTCTTTTTATTTTTAAAAACAGATTAGTTCTTTGATATAACTCCCAGTGCAGCCATACAAACTGTTGTGATGGTGAGTTTATAAGATGCAGAATGGGGGGCCATATTTCTCCTGAAGGCACTGTCTGTTGAAACAAAAAATTGAATAAACTAGCCACGAATCAGGCCTCTGCTGGTTTATGAGATGTAAAGACTGCAGATGAGATGTGCTGTATAAAATGTGCTACTGCTTTTCCTATTATGATTTATACTTACATTTCAGGTCTTCCTCTTCAAAAGAAGTATTTCTGCAATCATGTTTATCCTCATTTTTGGACAGCTCTTTAAATAAACCACATACATAGAGAAAACAGTTAGCATAGCTTTAACTTTTCATATAGTGATAAATCTTTGTTAAAACCTGCTGTCCCAGGCTTTCCAGGAATTGTGTGATTGAAATGCAGGCAAGGGAAAGGTTTAATACCAAAAATCTTGTCTGTTTTGGGCAAGAACACTTAAAAAAAAATGCCAGTAACAACTAACTTTTGACAGAACAGTGCAGTTTAAAGTGGTCTCTGAATAAAACCAAACACCAAATTAAAAAAAAATCCCATAAGCCACCATGCGAGGATTTTAATTTCTTCTCTTCCTCAATAAATCTTAACTCTCTCTTCCTCTTCCCCTGTTTCTCACTGTTATGGTGCTACTGAGACCCATTCACCGAGCTTTGCTAAACAGCACCAGCATCTCAACAGGAAGAAACAGAAGATATTAAATAAGCTACAGCTTCTCCCTGTAACCCTCAGGGCTCGGGCAACCTCTCTGTCCTCAGTGTTGTGACACAGAGCTTCCCATGCACATTACAATACCGGAGGCAGCACAGGGTAGTGCCAACGTAATTTGCAGCATAAGAGTCTGCACACCAGGTTTTGCTGCCATCACAAGGTGTACGTTGCAGGGAACATGTCTTATCCTATCCTAAACTTATCAAAACACGGGAAACCCCTCTGTCCCTCTCTTGTTTGTATCAGGGCTGCATCAGCTCCTGGAACAGGTATGCTTTTTTTTTCATCTTTTCCTTTTAAGTAACTAATAAAGTATCCCAAAGTATTAAGTGTTTACCTCACTCTTTAACTGTAATATATAGTTGTTACTTAAATGGAAAGTAGAATGCAAAATGGGAGGTGAATGTAATTTTGCCTACGGTTGTCATAATTACAGAACAAATTCACAAGCAACTATTTCCATGAGAGTGATGCTGATCTAGATTTACGCCATGCTGTACATACTTGCCACATTCATTGATGCATTAGCCAGACACGCTCTATTGACCTTATTTTCTTTAGTTGAAAGAGAATAAGAGAGAAAATCAAAAAAGAAACAAAATACTCATTTGTGATCTAGGAGAGGCTCAAGCACATTAGTGGGAAGAGCACTCTTGCCACAGTGTAATCATTCATTCTCAAAACACTTCATTTCTTCAAATCCTCTAAAATACATTCTTTACTGCCCAGTTTTTCAGTTTCCTTTCCAGAATACCTTTAAGCCAGAACTCCTTGACACTAGGCACAAGGTTTGACTGAAAAGTACTTGTTCAGTGGTATGCTTTCACCCCTAATTTGAATTTATTAAACAATAAGGAACAAAAAGAGAATCATCTTCTCAGTGTTCTGGGGGAAAAAAAGTTCATATTCCAGGAAGGTTCCATCCTTAAAGAACCTTCCTTTATTTCAAGAATCACCTGTCTGCTCATCTTTGACAGCTTGGGTTTTAAAAGAAATACAGTGTCACTACTAGTTTACTTTCTGAATTAACTTGTAGGTTATGACATCTATATATATCTAGATAGATAGATATACACACACACACATATCATAAATATATACATATACATGTATATCATAAATATTTCTCAAGCAACCTAGGAAACTTCTGACCTTCATCTAAAATCCCCAGATGGGAATCTTCTGAGAAGCCAAGGATCTCTGCTGGCCCTTCTTCCACTTTCATGTTCTGCCCCTACTCCTATCACATTCTTAGGACAAATATATTCTTAGACACACAGGGTTGTGTGCAGCCCTCTGTAGCCTGTAGCCATCATCTGCAAGTGTGTTAGGATTACAGATACCTCTCCCAGAACCTGTGTCCACAGCACCTGTGCAGGAGAGTAGTCTGTGACCAAAAGACTGAATATCTGCATTTAGTTCTATCTCATATTTCATGAACCTGAAATTTCAAGTGTAGACTTTGCTGATAGGTGCTTTTGTGTGATTTTCAGCCAGAATACAGTGCCGTTTCTAGTTTTCATTAGGAAGGAGGAGAGCTCTTGAAATACTGCTTGAAAAGATATTACAACACAGCATTTGCTTTGGATCCACCTGGATTTCATGCCAGCTACCCATCTGCACATACTATAAAATTTGAGAATTTCCAGACGAGGCACTAGTCCGTTATCTCGCTCAGCTTTTCGGGGCATTCGGTAACACTTCACAGAGTAGCGTGACCATGAGATTGTAACACTAGGAGAAGAGTGTCAGATCTGAGGCCTCTTGCACTTTTTCCTTGCATACATCTTGACAAAAAAAATTCAGGAAGGTTACTTCAAAAAAAAAAAAAGTAACTATGGATGATATAAAAATGTTCGCAAATTTGTTATAATCAGATTAATTGTTTCCATCAAAACCAGAATGTTCAACAAAAAACTTCCCTTCTGATATTTTCAAAATGAATCCTATGGATGTTCAGAGATCTGCCTGACTTTATCGCATCTCTTAGGACGAAGAGTAAAAAACATCCCTAATTATTAAAACCCATCTTCCCCCAAAGGGAAAAAAAAAAGAAAGAAAAATGAGAAAATGAGAAAATGAAACCATGCTTATTTTCAGCTGAGCAATACATTTCAAACATTCTCCTTTAACTTGGGGGCAAAAGGGCACTAGTTTCATGTTAGGATACCCTAAAATATTTTATCTCCCACTTTTTTGTTTGGTCAGCTAGTGAATTAAAATAAATTACTTCCAACGCTTTAGCTCTTCAGCACAGTGTGATGTCAAAAATATCTGATTCAAGGAAGTCAAGTGAATTGAAAAAGCTCAAAACATAACAAGGAAATGAAACAAACAAGTGGTACCAAGCCACAGAAGGAATGTCTTATGACAAAAAACGTGCATGCTCAAAAGCTTAGACATCTTGTTTCATATGTACTGTACCGTTTTTATTGTATTTTGACCAGAACTAAGATATATCTAGAACTCACAACAAATAAAACATTTTTAAAAATACATGCCCTCCCAGTTTGTGAAATTCTTCATACATTGTAGCAAAAAACCCTAAAAACCCAAATGCCATATTCAGGCATTCAGGTCCCAAATCAGAAGCGAGGATTCTGAACTAGAAGCTTACAGTTACACGAGGTACCTAAGCTGGGCATTGACCTTTAGATGGAAAAAAAACCCAACCAATCCTACTGCTCTACCTCATTACCTATAAGCAAATACAGGCATTACCTACAAGTAAAAACAGAGATAAAAAGGTAAGTGGCCTGTGAGGGGCTGACAACCTGTTGCACTCTACTAATATAATAAATAGCTAATATGTGATAAAGCCAGAAAAAGAAGAAAAAAAAAGAAAAAATTTGGTAAAAAATTGGTGGTTTCAGGATGAAGGAATTAGGTCAAGCTTTTATCCTCTCATCCCACCTCTGTGAGAATGAATTAACACGACAGATCACAGAATGGTTGAGGTTGGAAGAGATCTCTGGAGATCGTCTTGTCCAACCCCCCAACAACTAGGTAACAACTGGGAAATGCTAAAATGAATAACTCAAATACCTTTTCTTACACAGAGCATAAATAGAAGCGCTGATCCAAAGAGAGCGGTCACAATCAGAATTCCTCCAACAACGCGTCTGCTTTTAGTCCACAGAATATCCTCAGCTGAATCTTTAAGAAAAACAAGCAGGGGAAAGACAGGGCAGAATTATATTCGAGCTTCTCCCTTTTGCTTTCTCTCTCATCCTATTACGGTTGTTATTAGGATTTTGGATGTGATAATAGCATTCTAGACTGTATCCCAGGCCCAAGGTGTGTACACTTCCAAGGTGTATATATTGCACTGATGGTGCAATTCACCGTATCTGGCTATCTCAATAAAGGCAAAAAGATAAAACATATGCATATTCATCTTTGCTTCCAGGACTCTGGGTGATAGTCCTTTTGTCTCCTGTCACAAGTCCTGCTAGTCATGAAGGAACAAAGTGTTATGTCCAGCTTAGCTGCCTTCCATTAGGATTATAGAAAAAAGCTGTTTGAGAAAGAGACCACAGAGTCCCTTTGAGATGGTAGAGCTCTGAATGCAAAAGACAGGCAGCCTCCTTCAATCCCAGATGCATTTCTTGTCAAAACTGTACCCTTGTTCTCAGCAGTCTCTGAAAGAAGATTAACTTTTTACAGGCTTTTCTCACTTTCTGCCTGCTCACTGACAGCCCGGGAAAGCATGCCAGCAGTGTGAATTGGACTGGTGAAATGACCTGGCTGAGTAACAGTCTGACAAACAAGAAGAGATTATTTTTCAGCTGGACCAGGTTCAAAGCTTGTGTCAGCATACCACAGGGGTAACAGAGAAATAATGAATACCTAAGGGCAAAAGCAGTAGGGGTCGTGACTGACTAAAATGTCTTGTAGGAAACTGTACTGCTCTCCCACATTCATATGCCTTCTTTTAATCTAGACGTTATGAGAAATAACACCTGTGCACAATTTGCTAAATGCAATATGCTGACAGCAAAGGCTGTGGTGGCAAGAAAAAAACGTGTTGTTCAAATTTCTTTGACAGTTATCATCATTGAAAAAGAATATTTTTGGAAAATGTGTTTAATTTCTAAAGAAGGGTTTCATTTCTAGGCTCCAACCTCTGTGCTTTTCAAATAATTGAACTTCATTTAAAAGGCAGGTTCTCACTCATTTTTCACTTAACTATAAGCCATGCAAAATTGCTGTCTTTGAACAACTAGCTCCATCCCCATATGCACAGCGAGCATATTAATATCGTGAAAGTGCGCGCTAACAGCAACACTTAACACTACACAGTATTTCTTTTTGGCCTTTCCTAAATCAGATAGGAAAGAGAAGAAAGTCATGGCTGGGGCAACTCATACGAAGCGATGGGAGAGCTTGAAAAGTATTACTATAAATGACATTCAGAAGTGTTACCTGCTACGTATAAAATAGCAGATGTATTATCTTGAAGTTCTTTGTTCCAGAATATACAGTGAAAAATCTCAGCAGTCCTACTTTTGATTTTAAGTGTACTTGTCACACGATACAGCTGGTCATTTCCAATTTCATAACTTGTGTTTGCCTTATCAGTCAAATCCTGATATCCTCCATTTTGCCATATCACTTCAGCTTTTGGGTATCCTTCTGACTGGCATGTTAACTTCCACTCTTTGTCTCCTGTACTCACCACTCCTTGGGTTATGGTTCTATAAGGAGCTAAGCAAAGAGAAGAATTAACAATTACAAGTAGGAAGCCAGAAGGACAGAATACATGAGCAAGACACAACCTCCTCATCCCCAGCCTCTGGG